GCGTGGGGTCCAAGAACTGGGCTCCTTAAGACTGCATAAGTACCCACAGAATGAATTTCAACTTTTTATATTGCGAAAAAAAAACACCAGAATAATAAATTTTTTTTTCACACTGTTTAGTTTTGCCCCACGCGACATCTCGTTTTGACCCGCAGGTTGGGGGAAAATGAGCCATCTGGAGAATATTTGTATTTATTTTTAAAAATATGTTGTGAACGGTGGCAACATGGCAATAATTATGTAGCACATACACTGTACCCAAACGAGATGTTCCGTTCATTTTGAGTTGTGAGGAGTGAAAAATAAATATTAGCTATTTTAAAAGTTTTATCGCATTTTACCCCACACTACCCCTAATACGTAAGTACCATGCCATATGAACGCGAAAAATTCCGGTAGCGTGACCAAAATGTGGACACCTTATTTCCATGATCGAGAAGCTTATGAAGTGTGAGTGCACTGGTGGATTTTTTGTTACTAGTGGACTTGTTTGCTGGACTAGCGAACTTGTTTTCGCGAAAGAAGCAACCACTTTCTTGAGTTACGTTGCAAAACTTGGAGCAAGAGATGCGAAAGCTTCACGCTTGAGATAGTTGAAAACGCTCTTGCGATTTCACTAAACATAGCCTTCAATCAGCCAGTCGCTGATCCAGAAGGGGGAAGGTGGTAGGGGCTATCCCCCCCCCCCCCCCCCCACGCACACACAGAGTATGTGTCAGCAATCTCTGTATGCTCACACATACATACACATACTGTATGCTGACCAGAAGAGGGGAAGTGGTAGGGCACCCCCCCTCCCCGAGTATGTGTCGGCACCCCCCCCCCCCCCCCCCATTCCGGTCAATTCAGGGCTTGTAGTCTACCTCTCATCACCAATCAGGACACTGTGAGCACATTAACACTATGTTATGAATGGTTTTCCTGCTAGTAAAAACAAAAAAGTAAGGAGCACGCCCCCCCCCCCCCCCTTCCAATGGTACCTCAGGTGACCGCCCCTTTTAAACTGAGTGGCCGGATCCGCCCCTGCAATCACCGGCTACTCATCATAGACGAGGTATCTTGAAATAGCAAGAGACACTAACTACGTGTTTCGCAAAGTTGGACGAGTTCGCAGAGGCAACAATTTCGAGGGAACGTGAAAGTCTTCTGAACAGCGCGTCCGCATTCCCAAAAAACAATGCAAGCGCTTTCGCCGCTGTCAGTGCCGCGACGCCATTAGCATTAACAAGAGCGTCGCCTAGATTTGAAAGTGTCCCATCGGTATACCCCGCAATCACTCACTGCGTGTAGCCGGTGCAGAAGTTTTGCGCGCACGAAGAAAATCACCGGCGTTTATATGCAGATTTCGTGCCACTAAAGCGTCCCGCTGTACACAGTGCCAGCGTTCATTGAAATTCACTGCCTGTGGCAGTTCCTTTCACCGTGTTCACTGACGACCGACATCGAGAGTTCGCGTGACAGTACAGACAAGAAAACAAAAAGTGTTTCTTTTCAGGCGAACATCCGGTCGTCTGTAAAATTAATGCCAATCGAAACAGTTTGTCTGCAACAACTGCAGACTAAAAGTATTTCGTTTGCAGCCCGCAGTTCTTATGTCGAGAACGGTTCGCAATAAATCATTTCAAATTTATGCATGACTCGTTCCGCCTCGTCATACGATTTTGCTTAGTGCAGCTGGCTCCACACATCTGCACACTTTCGCTGTTCGTCAGTGTATTATTGCCTGAATGCTAGCCATTTACAAACCTTTTAGTGTTTTTGTAAAGTTCAAGAGGTAGAAGCGCCAGTGCAACAGAGAACAAGAGAAAAACCAGGGGCTTGCATCGAAAGCTGAAAATAGGTCACTGTGCTGTATGAAGAAGAACGTGTTAACTGGGCGAGTTGATACTTGCTAACACACATTGTTGTAGCACTTAAACACAAACACAAAAGAAGAAACAGTAACACGTCCTTCTGCAGCATACGTATATTGTCCCACAGTTTCGTGTGGTCTCTACTAACTCTCAGCTTTGCTGCCACAATTAACATTCCTCTCTCTCTGGTATGTATTGAAGTTGTAAGTTGTCGCATGTCCTATTAGCACACGTTTAATTCTTTGGTGTGCTTAAAAGTACTACAAAAATGTGTGTGATGTATGCATAAGCACGTGCACAAAAAGAGCCGGGAGGAAGGGAAAGTGGGCCCCTCTCCCTCTTTCTCTCCAATCGTCTAAGGCGTGCGCAAGTATGCCCCCATTCCTTTACTGAATCGAACCTCTGCCTTTGTTAGATTGCAGTGGGCATGCAGATTTTTGACAATGATTTCAATGAAAATGGTGACAATTATGCCGCACCTGATTTCCCAAACCAAGAGCTGCTTAGATCCTGCCTTTTCATCCGGGAATCCGCCCCGCTGCGGTGGTCTAGTGGCTAAGGTACTCGGCTGCTGACCCGCAGGTCGCGGTTTCGAATCCCGGCTGCGGCGGCTGCATTTCCGATGGAGGCGGAACTGTTGTAGGCCCGTGTGCTCAGATTTGGGTGCACGTTAAAGAACCCCAGGTGGTCGAAATTTCCGGAGCCCTCCACTACGGCGTCTCTCATAATCATATGGTGGTTTTGGGACGTTAGACCCCGGATATATATATATCATTCTTCCGGGAATCCGGGTGTTAAAGTTTAAACCTGTATGGACGCGCCCTCATTAAACGCTATGAATCGGAGCTAAGAAAACAATTACCGGTCTCTTAAAAGCATCCGCTACTTGTCAGGAAGCGTGCTACACGCGACACGAGGTTTCGGGAAATCTGTGAAGGCTTCACGCTGCAGCACTACGGGAAACAACAGAGAATAGAGAGAGAGAGAGAGAATAAGGATGAAAGAAAGACAGGAAGGTTAACCATGGCGGAGCCTGGTAGGCTACCTTGCACTGGGGAGAGGGGAAGGGGAATAAAAGTTAGATCGAGAGAGAGAGAAGGAAATAAATGTCACTCATGCCATAAAAAAATGGCAGTTATGTGCTTCACATCAGACGGTGAGTCACATCCGTGTCTTAATCGATTGAGCACATTCGGTGCATTAACTTGCACCCTAAATCTTGCCGATGGTGAAGCCATGATGGTGCCGCTTGCGTTCTCAAGCAGCAGACTTCTGAAGGCTTGCGAGAACTTGAGTCATGGTGTAAAGCAGTTGCAACACGCTTTGCAGAAAGATTGTGCATACAGTTATCACGTCTTGCTAAATAAGTAAGTTCTGGGGTGTGCACATCATATCGACTTTTTTTTTCGGTTTGTTACTTTCGTTGTTCTTCCTTTTTTCATGAATATTTTCTAGACCTCCTAGTTTGTACCATTTATTTAGATTATTGACTTCATTCAACGCTTCCTGTATGGTGAGTACTCTTTCACTTTTGTCAAAAACATTGTATTATGTTATTTGGGAATATTGGTTCGTTTTTTGTAGATGGTTACTTTTTATTTACTTGCACTGATCTACTGGATTGTTTTACTTGCTGCGTGAATTCTTTGCTTTAATTTCACTGCTAGATGTCTTATGCTATGGTCAGTGGACGCTTTCAAGCCCATTTTAAAGGTTTTGTGTCCACTGCCTATACAACATAACTGTAGGTTGTATCTTGATGTTGAAAATAAACTGAAACTGAAGGCAGGCAAGCTTTAGCAGCTTTAGGTTCTTCATTTTGGCATCCATTTAAACACTTCCTTCCCACACCCTAATGAAGGAATACGCTCACGCCTACGACTGTGTGAGTGACTGGGATGAGGTTTCGAGATTCAAAATGGAACGGACAAGACTACAAATGAATTTCAAAATGAGCCAGTTAACCAGACTACGGTTAAACAAGCGAATCGAGCCCAGATTACAATACGACAAGTCGTTTGAGAATGTGCGACTGAGCTTAAGTATGCTGCGTAACTTCCACAACTTCATATTTGGCCTCCCTTTGTTTCTTGTCCTAGGTGATACGATTTCGCTGGTGTTTGTTTTGTATCGTACATTCAGGAAAGCATTAACTGCTATGGGCGTGGTTGTACGAGGCAAGCGCTAACACAGAACGGTGCGGTGCCTGTCAGGTGCACACTTGGTGCGCACACAGCTTGTGCTCCGTGGATAGTCTTCGCACGCTCGAAATCCATCAGTGAGCTGAGTGCTCCTCAGTTGTTCGATATTAAACAAATCGTCCTACTCGTACTCCCGATTCTTAAGCCAACGAATGGAGCAACCACCGTTTCGTAACAGTCTCCCGGAGACGCTCAAACTGAACCGAGCGTCAGCACGAAAAAGAAGGGGACGAAAGGTGATGGGGGTTTCGTCCAAGCATCAACTTAGAAGGACACAAGCTTAAAACGAAAAGACAGGAGTCCGTTCATCTCGGCCCATAAATGTGCGGTTTCGGGGATTTCCTATGTCAGTCACGCCACATTCCTTCAATATTCGGATTCACGGGCAGCCGCAAACAGAATCAAGAATTTTCACGTGTCCATCGAAGTTTCGTCGAATTTTTCACAAGGACTATTTATAGCATTTCCCCAAGGCGCAGTTCCTGCGCTTCACAGGTGCCCATTTCGCTCTTGCTAAATCTGGCGAACTTGCAGACGTTGCTCAACTACAGAATCACTTCCTTTTTGCATCGCCGCAACATTGACGTCTATCGTTCTTTTTTACATAACAATATCAAAGAACAGTTCGTAAAAACTTCAACGAATAGCCCAGGCAAGGTGGAACACATCTGCCTACGCAGTCAGCATTATATTTATTACTGTTATTTTCCAATCTACCCATGTGATGCCCTTAACGGGCTCTCAAGGTGTTCGCATAAATATCGCCCATTAGGCGGGCAGATGCACAACCTCGGCCTAATAAACGCGCCGCGATGGCCGCATGTGAAATGGCAGCCATTAGGGAAGGCTCATCTGCATGAGCGACGCGCCATAAACATGCACAACGACGAGCGAGGGCTATTTTCCCACGATCGGCATCAGGGAGCGTTCGACGGCACTCGCTTACCCGAAGTGTTGCTCGCGGTTCCTACCTAGCAGCTCCTCGTGGATCGTAATGGCTGACGCCACCGCTGAGGAAGTGGGCGCCACCTGCAGTGCAACGTTGGAGTGCGTGAGCAGTTTTGCCGAGTGCCTGAATGTGTTACAACGCTCGTGCATTCGTCACAGGTGTGGACGATTAAGCGGTCTATGAGACAGCACCTTCCGAAGTTTAAGCTTCGTTGTTCGAGAGGCTACACGGCCTCTTCCTTCATCCTCCGAATCAATGAATGAGTCAATCAATAAACCATTCACTCAATCATTAGGCCCGTCAATCAATTGACCAATAAGTGAACAAATCATTTTTTCAACTTACAGAGCTGATCGATCAATCGATCCACCAACCAATGAGTCAATTATACAATCGACTGTTCGTCACTTAATGGACCGATGAATCGGTCAATCATTTGGCAAGCCACACAGCCCATCAATAAACCAATCAATCGGTCAGTGACTGAATGAGTCACTCAACGAATTAGTCAATAGATCAATAAATCAACCAGCCATTTTGCAAGTCACTGAGTCAATCACTCAAACAGCCACTGGTCAATGATTAAACAAATCACACAGCCAATCAATCAATCAATCAATCAATCGGTCAGTGAATGAGTGACAGTCAGTCAATTATGAACCAACAAAATAAACCAGTCCTAATTAAAGTCACTGAGTCAATCACTCAATGAATCAATGAGTCAATAATTCAATCGATTGTTCAGTCCGTCGTAAGACTGATAAATTGGTCAATCATTCAGCAAGTCACAGAGCCAATCAATAAATAAATCAAGCGGTCAGTGAATGAATGAGTCAGTCATTCGATCAATGAACCAATAAATAAACCAATCATTTTGCAAGTCACACATACAGAACAAAAAGGCCACGCTCTACACTTGCGAATGCTGGAGCCGGAGTACATCGGCGTCCGAAAAAAGTCGCAAAGTTTCTTATAATAATAAGCCACGTCTTTCAGAAAACCGTAGCCTTTTAATCGCACTAGCATTTATGCCTACATACTAAGCGATATCGATCCTAGGTACAAATACCTGTATATAAAAGCACAGGGGGTGAAATAGAAGACAGTTTATCTCGCGTTTCACATTTACAAAATAACTACTTGACCAAAAACATCTGTAAACATTACGCGGGTGTTCTCTCGACTTTCGATCAGCAAACGCCGGCAATGTACAACACGGTTCTTGCACATTCAATCAAAAGTATGGATCTTTTTTTTTTTGCTCTTACAGAATACACCACGTAGGCTTAATGCGCTCAGCATAACTGTGCACCGACTCAATTATTGACTGAGCCCCCCCCCCCCCCCCAAAAAAAAAAAAAAAAACTAAATACTACACTGGCTCACGTTAGCTCCAAGCACGCTCGCTCCCGAAAAATGTGCCTTCACTGCAATCATTCCCTCAGCAAGTATTCCAGAGAAGCCCGTTCTGCGTTTCTACAACCGATTGGCTGCAGGTCTTACCGACAGCTCGATATTTCAGCACACAGCAAGCTACCATTGCGTTAATTTTTTGTGCTAGCAGCGTGAATCCTGCCGCCTAAATTTCTCGAAACGCATTGCACGACGGTACCAAAATTAATTCGCATGCCAGCAGCGCTGCAGTCTCATACTATAGAAAAGAGGGCAGTGAATGCCGTATCGAAACAGTTTTCAAAAACTCTTTCCTTTTCTTTGTGTGCTCAGTGACATAAACTTCACAACTTCTGGGACGCTTTTAGAAAGGAAAGAGAGAGAAAAGCTTGTATTACTCAGCAAAACAAACCACTTTCATTGATAAACCAAGAAAAATATGCGAGTGCGGGGAACCACGTAGAGTTATGTCCGCAGTCACTGTTCAGTTGCGCGTCGATCGAAAAAAAGTTGAAATTAAATAAAGGTGCGCGTATGTATCAATAAAGGCATTTGTATTTGTGATCGATATTAGTTCGCCGCAGTTTTCACAACAATCCGTGCTCGGAATTACCACTACGATAATAGCCACTGCGTGTATACTTTCTACCGCTGAACTCGGCAAGAGCTGCCCACAGGCTCCTCGGAACAAAGGAACGAATCGACGCACTCTCATGAAAGCAATTCCTCTGTAGATACATACCACAGCCACAAGCGCTACGCCTTTAGCCTGACAAACGGAATAAAGGCCCAGGCTATATTTAGTTAGTGTTGAAAGTGGCATCGACGTCGAGCACGATTTCCAAACACAATGCTGGTTCCGGTGCACGACTTCGTTTTGTACTCCGGGTGCCCCCCGGCTAACTCTAAGCGGAGTTTAAAAATGTCCCCGCACACTTTATGACGGCGCGACCAAACGAATGATGCCGACTATTGCATGGAGTCATACCATTTTTTGTTTGTTTGTTTTCTGCCTAACTACTTAAGCGAGCAAGATTAGCTCACTTTTGAAGTCACGGAGCTGGATCTAAAATCCCAATTAGGAAATGCTGGTCAGTTTGCAACGCTTCTGATTTCACATTTCCAAACTTCGTATCTGTTGCGTTATGGTGTTTTTCTTCTGACCACAGATGCCCACCGAGTACCCAAAAAACATAGCCCGTGATAGGCCAGCTTGCACACCGTGATTGTAGTGGCGCCTTCATTTGGTGAGCCCGCATGTTTTTTTTTTTTTATTTACAGCACCTGGTAAATGCATACAAGATAAGGTCATGAACAGCGGGTAGGTGGGTGGGTGGTTGGGTGGATGGCTGAATGGATGTATTTCTGCTACCTAGCTTAGCAATCTCTTGCACTCGGCCAACTTGTTCGGTCGTGTTAGTCTATATTTGAATAGCCCTGCCACTTCGTTTGCCGCCACAGTGGCTTCGAGTGCACGGCTCCCGAAATAGGGAAGACAAGTGGATAGACCCAGATTGCCTCACTCGCCGCCTCGTTGAATCCCGAAAAAAAAAAGGAACACGCTTGCTTCACCGCAGAGCGTTCAGGCCCGCGGTGTTCATGCAAGAGCCATGAGCAAAGATCTGCCTTATACATGCACTCTCCAGAAGACTGGGAGACAACGGTATTGCCCTTGACCCAGTGCTATAATGAGACCCGCTACCGGCGCACCTGTCTCTGTCTTGCAGACTTCCTTCCGTCCTGGCCAGTCTCCCTAATTGCTTTCCTCGTATCCCCACTCTCTTCTTCGAGTCTTGGCCTTTACATCTTACCTGTTTTCTTTTACGTTAACGCTCCCTCTTATTCGCAATTGAAGCAAAATAAACTCGCATTTTCGCGGGACCACAAACGAAAAGAAACCTCCCGCTAAGCAAAAGTTGTGGTGACGCACCACGCCCATAGATTCCTCCACCAACCTCGCTCTCCCAGGAAAGGGGAGGGAAGGGGGCCCCCAAAAAACCACACCCTTGAGGTCACAATCTCACGCGCAAATGAGGCCATAATTTTGGAGGCCCGCCACCGCCACCACTCGTTCGCTCTCTGGGCTTTTTACCATCTTTCCTACCTCTTTCTTTTTCAGATTTGTTTGTTTTTGCCAATAATCTCCCTTCCTCACCTCGGTTGTCTCGTCATTTCGCGGCAGTACGTGCCCCCTTGCTTGCCCGGCAGGCATTCCGCCTGAGTTAAGAGTGGTCTCGAAGTAGGGACTGAGATTTCCACTGTCGCTGCCCAAGGAGGGAATCAAAAAGAGGTTGAAAGGGGCTGGGAAGCTCTCGTCAGCGAACATGGGATTTCCACCGAGATCTCATTCGTCACACTTTTTCCCGAGCTTCGTTCCCTTCTTTAACTCCCTCGTTCGTTTCCCCGTTTTCCCTTGTTCCCTCTGTGGTCATCTTCTGAAGACAAAACGGCTCGCGTAACTTACGGTGGAAGTAGATTTCGAAACGAACACCTGCACGAAGCGCAGCGCCCCGCCCCTCCACGACGATAGTCCTATGTACATGCTACGAAGGAAACGCCTCGGTACGAATGTTACCCGTGATACTTTCCTTAAATTAACCCTTCGCATTGTTTTAGCGTCGTTATTTCTTTCCGTATACTCTCGCTGCATGGCATTTAAAAATGTGGCACCAAAGTCAGTGGTCACATCAGCCTTTTCACAGCTACCCTACGTAACCGAGTAGAACTTTATCGAGTAACAGAAGCGCAGTGTTGTGCTTTCGTATAAGACGATTCGGAAGCAAAAGCAATCCCTCTCCCCCAGCAGCGAATATTCAGCCAGTGGCGTAGCCTGGGTGTTTGTCAGCCGTCCTCCTTGAACATTTTTTTTTACAATTTTGCTATCGTATATATGTACACGCACACATACAAATGCACGCACAGACACAGATAAAACACCGTCTAACCCTCCCCCACCACCCTTCACCCCAAAACAAACATTTCTGGCTATACGTTACTCCTTGCTAGGGCTAACGTAATATTGCCCTGCCTCCATTTTCGAAGACTTTGGAAGCGTTCACATGGTTTCGCAGTGCCACCGGGATTACCTCATTTCTTTTGTCGTGCAGATTTAGAGATGTAACGTCACACGATCGCGTCGTGCTGTGACAGCCCAGTGACGTCATGAAGACGTCACGTGGTGCCATTATCGAGCCGTAACGTCTGATCACGCTACCTCTCTTGCACCATTCGTGCTCACGCCACCGACGGTCCTGTTTCGGGTTTGATGAGACACCTGTAAGCTTGGATACTTCGTTAAAACACTGAAGGCATCGCTCTCACTTCTCGGGGCTCTTTCACACCTCGATAAGTGGGAACGACGTCGGGAAAATCAATTCAGAAATAGTTTGTAAACGTGCGCCTCGCGTTCGCGAGATGGCTCGTGACGCAGCGGTCGCGGTGAACGCGCAGATTGAGGTCAATTACACCGAAAAAGTTATTTCATTGACAGCCGTAAATAATGCCAAGTCCGCCAATATGGTTGCCCTTCAAACGAACATATCCTCGTTATGGAACGCGAGGTCCTAGAATTTCGTTACTCTTTTTCCCGCTAAAAGCAATTTCTGGTTTCGTTTTGCTCGAGAACTCGCGCATCTAACCTTAACTGTACACAAGGTAACTCTACAAACCTATAGCAAAGGTGCCCCTA